GGAGAAAATTTTATATTAAGTATTTTAATATATAATTTTAAATTACACTTTACTATGTCTTGTATTTTCGATGGACTCTCACAACATGATTCCGACTTAACTTTTACTATGGTGATACTAATTTTTATCACATAAATAAAGTAATTATTTTATTAAGCCATATTCTAACATGAAAACAGTTAATTTTTACTATGGTATACGCAAACAAAATTTGCTAGGTATATTTGATTTTGTAATAAAAAATTTTTACTATGAAAAAAGTGTAAAAATTACGTTATATTATTGTTTAAAAAAAAATAACTATAGCATTTAAACTGATAATTGACATGAAGAGACCGCAGCTACTACCGCATTATAGTAATTTTAAATAAAAAATTGTCTCCGTGTATAGTTGAAGTACGAACGGTCTCTTGCTCGTTATATCTTTCTCCTTGTCCCTTGCATCCTGTTGCGTATCTGCCCTTATTTATCGGAAGACACGTCGCCGACAGCCGAAAGTCTCCGATTGCCAATCCGAGACGGGGAGAGAAACGATCCCGCTGTTCCTGTTTCTGCGGTTCGCGCGCGCACTGGGTGTGTGCGCTCGGAATGCGCTGAAACATTGCGGCCACGAGAGCGGCGGGATTAAATCTTGATGCATTGCCGTTATCCACGCGTGAATTTTTGCACGCGCGCATTAGAGCCGCACGGCGAAAAAGTTATCAATTTATTGCACGCGCGGCGTCGATACGCGATAGCGCTCGCGCCGCAACCCTCCCGGCGAATTATTAATTGCCGGCCCGATCGCAATTGTTGTACCAAACAAGTTCCCGCGTTCTCGTCGTTGTTTGCGTTGTATAACCACGCTTATCGCGATCGGCCACGATGTCGTTGGGTGTATCTTAAAAGCAGCGTTGTTGCCTTCGCTCGCAACGCTTGCAATAATTCATTAATAAAATTTACATTTTTATTTGTATTAAACTTTCTCTCTCCAGAGTCTCCTCTCGTTCGACGTCGAGTCTCATATTTCTCTTTGTCGCGTGATTATTGTTTGCCTCAAGACAGTATGACTATCCTATGGCTTTAACGGAATGACGAATTGTAACGAGAGATTGGGAGCCACTGACATTCGCATTCCTTACGATATTTCCACGTGCCGTCGATTTTTGTCAGACCAGTTTCGAGAGGAATCTGGCGTGCACATTTATCCGATTGACTCGCTGGCAACTAATGTGGTCTCCCATTGTAGTCACGTTGCGATTACGTGATGTCATTCTGCATGTTATTTTAAGCTTATCCATTCATGCCTCTCAGGTTTTTATGAAAGAACGTTGGAGTGGATAGCGGTTGGAAGACAGAAGGTTACCGCGTGTCCAGGATAAGCTGTTTGGCCGCTAGACAATAATTGGCGCACACATGATATTTATAATACGGAATACTACAGATGGGGAGGATAAGAGTCTAGTTTAACAGGCGGAACTGATGTTTCCGACCATGGCTTGCCGTTGCATCGACTATAACTTTATGTAACCGTGCATAATGCACTTTATTGCATTAAATTATTTATTCGCGATCGAGCGAATATTCATCGTACATGATATGGATATTGCAGGAAGTTTGAGCATGCATTCCAGAGTTTTGCCGATTAAATGTCGTACAATAGCATGTCGCGAAGTACGCGAATACATTGTACGTTTAACCATTATCATATTTCAAGCTACCGTTGCTTTCGAAGCGTTAGCGTATTGGTATTAATATGAACATCAAATTCAGATTTTATTTCGAGTACTGACAATACTCGAGTTATATAACGACAGCTGAGAAATCGTACAAGATATTCATATTTCTGTATAGAAAAGTTTTTGGAAATTTCTTTAAATATCCGTTTACGTTTATAATGATATACTAGTATATTTTTCTGTTCTCTTAGTAAATAAAAATTTAGTTTTCAATATACATAATTTAAATTATTTCTAAAAATAAAAGTAAATTATATTTCTAACAAATTTGAATAAAAAAATGAATTTTTTAAACAAGTATAATTTTAAACAAATGTGATTCGCATGTTTATATGATTTATATGAATTAATCAAGTGTGAATGATGAATTAATGATAATAATAATTCATGTCGTTTATTCAATGTTGTATTAATGATTGAAACTTGGAGATAAAACATGCACTGTATAATAGGAAGATAAATATTTTGCACAATAATCTGGCGCATCGGTCATACGTCCGTTATAATCATATTGACCTTTTATGTTCACTCAAGCAGTACATGTTATTAATACGTTCGAGTTAAAAGATAGCTATGTACTTTTTTACGTAAACACTACACGGAAAAAAATATTAATTGGGTGGTGCAGCAAACCTGTAACTTACTACGCGATTCAACATCTATAACTAACAATAAGAAGATTTGATAGTTTAACAAATCGTTAATGTTATTCAGCTGTCAACCTGCTGCTTTAACGTACAAAAAATTGACTGTATATTACGACTGTAGATTTGCAGAATCAGTGGAGCTTTTAGCTGTGTGTTTTTTTTCCGTGATACGTATTTCGGGATATCACATAACAGTCGTACAATTTCCGTTCAGACGAACAAGCGGTTCGAGTAACAATGAACGCTATTAAATTATACGCGCATATAATGTCATACGTTGTGGACCGCCATAGGATATGGCTCGCAAGGTCTTGCCCAACGGCAACCACGATTCTCTCCGTTCGCTATCGTATACCTGTCATCGCACACGTAGACAAAGCATTCGCCACTAATCGAGGACCGCTAAGCCGCCTTTCTTCTTCGGCGAGCAGTTCACCCGCGAACGAAAGACTAACGATTGTTGCGAGAGCCTCTTCCTCGAATAACGTCGGAGCATTTAGGACTCGTCGTGTCCTTGCCGAACGCTTACATGCGGATCTTTGTCTTGCCTCTCGGGCCCCGGGCGATGTTGCTAGAGACGATAGAATTGTGCACTTAATGCATAGGAGGTAAATTAATGTTAATTTCCACAAAAGATCACAGTTCGGTACTTTTGACATTTTTAATATTTGACAATTTTTTTCGAACATTTCTTATTAAGATCTAAATTTTTAAAATAAATATATAGTAAGAGAATATTTAACTCTTTTTATCCTCTTCAACCAAGTTGGACTTTGAAGGCACAATTGATATTTTAATTTTCTGGTAGATTATAAATCTGTAAAAAATAAATAAAATACAATCTGATTTCTATAATAGTAAAAACTTGTCGGTAAAGTTTTTACGAGTATATCATTCGAAAATTTGTGTTACATTTAACACACTTTACGTATCCCAAACTTAAATTTTTTGTATTAATTTAACACAAGTTCATGATTAGAAAATAACATAAATGTTATATAAAAAAAATTAATACAAAAAATATAACACTGACACAATTTATAAGCAAACTGTAGAAGTATAATTTTTTAGTAAAATTAATATTTGTAATATATTAACTTAACAAGTATTTTATTCATTTATCTTAAAATTTACGTTTTAAAATACATTTTTATTTTATGTTATTTATTTATTTATTCATAAGGTGTGTAATTTTTTCATGTTGAAGAAATTAATTAAGAAATGTTGAAAATCAATTTAATACAAGAAATTTAAATAACATGATCATATTATGTTAAATTAATATTTGTATATTAAGAATTCAACACAAATTTTAATAAGAACTTGAGTGGACCGTTTTTAACAGAAATACAAAATGATTTTTACTGTACAAGAATTTCTTTTCATTTATATACAATCTGGAATAATATAATAAGAATCTGTACTGAACACTCAACATAAAAAGTGCAAAATTCATATAATCGATAGAGGATTAATAATAATTTAATAATGATAAAATTTTATTACATGTGCATTTTTATCTTGAAAGTTCAATTTAAATTAAAAACTTTAAATTTAACTTTCAAAAAACATGGAATACTTTTATCGATGCCTCGTTACAAAAAGATCATTTTTTAGTTTAGCACTTCTAGTTTTGACGTGTGTAATATAACTTTTAATATACAAATACAAAAATTGATCGTGAAATTAATGCAGTGTCGTCACTTTCATTACGCTGTAACAGTCATATTTACATTCACTCGACGATGTATATCAATTCGAGATTAATATCAAGATTGTGTCAGGGATACACGTCTCATCACGCGTTCCTGACGGTACGAACGTGCGTATCCGCGTTACAAAACGGACCAGCCGCATGAAAGTTGAAATTGAAAGTTAGCGTGGGCCGATAGCTACCGCCCAGACCGGTCCAAGTTTACTCGTACATTAAGTCGGCGATCCGGCCCGAGGAAATATCATTGGTCTGCGTTCGTCGAGTGCTCCTTAGCGGGATAGTAACGGGGGTGGAGACCGCTTCGAGTCTTACACAGCCTGATATCATGCGAGAACAACCTGGCAAACAGTGTTACAAAGAATGCAGATACGCCTCGTTTCGCGGCCGATATAGCAATTCGAAGTAAAGGGGAATTCGTGTATTTTTGTGGTTTTTGCACAAAAGACAAAAAAAATTAAACGTTTCGTTGCAAATGGTATTTCGCGGTAGTAAAGATGACAGGCGAATTCTGACAGGTTTTACCTTCGTACTGGAGAATGTACGGCTACCGAAAATTGTTGGTATTATATATATATTTTAACGTTCAAGTTGGCACATTAAGACCTGGTTAGCTGTCAACCCGAGATCGTTTTTCTCAATCGATATTATAGTTACGGCATCCGGAATGGTATATACCGGCAATCGGCAGCCGGAGTTAGTTAGTCGATGCTGTTGGCGCATTACTGACCCTGATTTAAATATTTACGAAGGCGGAGAGCGATCTTGGCGATGATGTTCCTCAGGCGCGAATCGTTAACGCGGAGTACACGGGAGGAGATTCCCCAGTCGTGTCGAGGAGCGCACTTGTTCTAGAATGCGATAATTGGCTCCGCTCGTCCGAATGCCGGGTCTAAATCCCGTTCTCTCGCCTTCTGATTGCAGATCGCCGGACAATTATTGGACACGGAGTTTCAGCCGACGGTGACGGCGACGTGCAAGGGCGGCTATATGACGATTCGTGTCAATCTCAATCAGAGTTTCGTAGGCGCAGTCCATGCACGAGACCATCGGACCCCGCAGTGCATGGTATCGGGCAACGGCACCACGCACGCCACTCTGGGCATCAATCTTTTTGCGTCGCAGGACAGTCCCGAGTACTGCGGAGTTCTGGTGAACAACGTGAGTCCGCTATGATTATGGAAATCGTACGCCAAGGGCGACGGAATTATGGAACTAGTTGTTGTTTATTTCTATGATCCGCAAATGGTTAATCTGATTGACAATTGTATACAATAGTACGTGTACTACGAGACTTAAGTATTAATTTCGAGAAATCAACTCTTTATGCGAGCAGCTTGCTACTCGCGTAAATAAAAAGGAAAAAGGATATTCCGCCGCACAAGGTGTACTTACGTTTTACACGTTTCACGAAGAGATACGGAGAAATTAGTACTCGCGTCTATTTACATGAGGAGTTTCCAGAAAATTAATTGTTTTGAGAAAGTTGCCGGTATGCTGATTTACATACTCGGCCACTGAAGACGCCTCGAGAGTAACGTGAGAATTCATCATATATGGAGATTATGATTTACATTTGAATCCCTCTCTTTCCGCCTAGGTATTTGTTCTGCAAGTGTAACGCTCTGTGGCCAAAGACTTAAAGTCTTTTCACACTTAAAATTTTCACGTATATATATGTATATAATTGAGTTTACAAAATGTTCTCATAAATTTACTAATCGCAGAAGTCAAAATAAATATTTCAATAATGAATAACTTTTGACGAATAAGCGGTTTGATGAATTATATCATGTCTTTTACCATTTTAAATATAGCAATATATATTGCAGCATACAGAAGAACGTTCCGTTCCTATCGCTGTTAGGATACACAAAACGCTGGAATTGGCGGATGACAAGTTTTATGTCATTACGTGCGGAAAGGCGGGTTTCAAAAATGCCAAGTAAGTTGAAGATTAATTATAAAATAATGTAAATACTATATAAAAATAAGAAATTACAAATTAACAAAACACTAATAAGTTTTTATAGACTCCTTAAATAAAAACAATTTAGAAAAAACATATAACATACAGTACAGGCAATAGGAGTTAACGCTGGTTATCAATTAGCGCAATTCTTCTTAACATTAAAAATATAAAGCTTGACTTTGAACGTTTCCACTCATGGTTTGAGTCTTTATATTTTTAGCATTAAGAAAAATTACACTAATTGATAACCAGCATTGACTCCTATTACTTGTACTGTATGTTTTGTGTTTTTTCTAAATTGTTTTACTTTAAGGAATCTATAAAAACTTATTAGTTTTTTATTAATTTGTAATTTCTCATGTATAAAGACTCTTGTTATCAAATAAAAATAAAAATCTAAGTAAAGGGCATATAAGAATCAATAATCAATGAACTAAAAAATAAAATATAGACATATAATAATAAAATTTCTCGATATCATTCCTCCAAATATCTTGATGGTATAACAATAAAATGTCTCGATGATCTAACAATAATTACTAGTGCCTGTACTGTATGTTATATGTTTTTTTCTAAATTGTTTTACTATATAAGATAGAAATAATATTTGATAGAGGAATTTATTAACAGAACATAAAAAGTAAATTATATGTATTTCTCAAAACTGTTTTACTTAAAATATTATCTTAAAAATAAGTGAAAATGGAAAATTGTATTATTCGAACTCACAAAAGTATTCGTATAATCGAGAAATTCAGCTTCTAAGGTCAGCACGCGAAGCTCCAGAAGGTATTCATTGTATAAAGTTGCTAATTAATGTTTATTTTCTACAAATAAGACTTTCTTGATAAAGCTTTTTCCCGTACGAATACGTACACTTTTTGCATTCATTGAGAGTAAACATCATTAAGTTGCCAGAAGCTGATGCTGCGGGTTTATTTTATTTATGAACTCTCCGTAAGCTATCATAAAATAACCGTGTTTGTGTGTGTGTGTACGCTGAGTTTTTCAAACGTACGAGAAATAGAAATATCTCGCATCAGTGACTGCTTGACACGCGTGAGTAGCGCTATCTAAACGGGAAATACTATGTATTTGCTAGGCTTTTAATCGGTCATTAGCGGTTCCGTGTTTTCTAATCAATCGTTGATGTTTGCTACCACTCAGCTATATATTTCCGTCTTCGCGGTATATTGATTGTACGTACAGATACTTCAGCTTAAGAGTGATCAATTTAGATTGTCGGTACTTTGCACAATATCGAATACCACAAGTTTTAAGGGGGATGGAAAGGTTTGGACGGCTGAAAATTATGTAAAATTCGAATATCATTTGTAGGCAAATGAATAAATATACATAAATTTTCTTTTTAGCATGTTTTAAATGCTTTCTTACGAATAAAATAAGCCGCAAAAGTCCACAAAATATGAATTAATGAAGGCAATATTGATATTTAAAGGCAACTGCGCGATTTGCGCACTGCTCTGTTCTTGCCATTTTAGGTAAACGAACTGAAATTTTCTAATTTTCTTGGTGTCATTTTATTAGTGGAATTCTCGTCTATAAACTGAATCTAAAATTTGAAAAAAAAAACGTAAAAATGGTAGTTAAAAATTATAAATGTCGAAAAATTCAAGTTATTATTTATTGAAACGGGCCTAAAAAATAAATTTTTGTATGCAAAAGTAGGTTTAGTTCACGGAAAATTTTTTGTTATATCTTTACTTTAGAAAAAATTTGTAGTCGATATCTGCAGTCGTTCTTGAGTTACCTTGGCAAGAACGGAACAGTGCGCAAATCGCGCAGTTGCCTTTAAATATCAATATTGCCCTCAATTATTCATATTTCGTAGCTGATTTTATTCATTAAGAAAGCATTCAAAACGTGCTACAAAGAAAATTTATGTGTGTTTATTCATTTGTCTACAAACGACATTCGAATTTTACATAATTTTCAGCTGTCTAAACTTTTCTATCCCCTATGCATATTTTTTTGGAAACATCTTGTAATGTCTTGCAATATCAATATAATGAATAATAATTAAAAGGATGAATAAAATTAAATGAAATTCGATATTTAGCACGAAGGTAATATTACGAAATGTCTCTTGAGTCAAAATCTGAATACCAAATGTAGCTAATAAGTATTCAACAAATATTTAATAGACATTGTTTTTTTAAGAGTTAAAAGATGATTTTACCAATCAAGAAAACAAGATTAATAAATAAGGCAATAGAAGTCTACCTCTGGTTGTCAAAATATGGTAATCGTACACATGATAATTTCGAAAATTTGGGATATTGACTGCGATTCTTAATATGCTGTATATTTTGTTGCATTGTTGCTGAAGATAACTCAAAAACGGAGTCGAAACGTACGAAGTGAGATGATATTTTTGTTGTAATAAACTCGATATTTTGACAATCAGAGGTAGACTCCTATTGCCTTATTTACTAATCTTGTTTTATTGATTGATTTAAGGAGTTGTTAACTTGTTATAGTTATTATTTTATTATTATTAATGATTTTACCAATTAAAATGTTGTCATTTAATTATACGCTGGTCGGAGAAAAGGCTGCCCCGGAGATAATAAAATTTAATTGGGCATCCCAGAAATTAAACAAATAGGGCGATGAATCAGTAATTAAAATGCTTGCGACGCTACGGTTTACCGCAAGTTTTTCTTATTCCGTAGCGAAAAAATGCGGCTGACAATTGGTATGCGTTCGTTGTCAAATGAGATATCCTACAAATGACAAGTAGCTTCTTTGTCAGAATATACCTTCTGAATAAATTTTCTTGAGTCAAGGCACTTTGAAAGTCGATACACATGACTCTGCACGACTCGTTGATTTTCTTATCACATGCATATCGCCAGAGGTATCAACTTGTTGACATAACTTTTTTGTACTTTTATTCATTCGCTTTGATCGCAACCTCGATCAAGCTTACGTCACGTTTCTAATAATAAAATACGCTACGAGACGTAAAAAAAAAAGGAACCCGTGCTCACAAATAATACTTTTTGCGTAGAAATGAAACTTCGCTGGTTTCCCTGCGCCTTTTGGATGAAGGTGCGAGAGTACAGGAAGCTATATACGGTCACAACTATACCCTGCGTGCTGAGATTTCACGCCCAGACGGTTCGTATCTTATATCCAATTCCGTCATTTGCTTTTATGCCCAGATAATACCGACAAATCCGTTAGCCGCGGTTTCTTCGTGAGAGCTTGCTGTCTGAAGCACTGTTTCGTTGAACATTCAATTTGCAGGAACGTACGGGATTCGAGTTAAGAACTGCTTCGCGTTCAACAAGCTCAATTCCAGCGTGCAGCTTATAGACGACAAAGGGTAAGCCTATGATTATTACTTTGATATACGATCTGTCTAATAAAAGCGTGACTGGAACGTCTGTTTGAAAATTGTTACTACATCAATTTTTAAACGAGCAGATAAAAGAGCTCTTCCCTACGATACAAAAAACAAATATATTAATCATCGGGCATTTATTTTTGTATCTTTAAAGACGCTATTTAAGAAGTTGAGATATAAAGAGTAAGATTTTTAAACAGAGTTCTATGTGAGATCATGCTTTTATTAGAAAGACTGTAAATTGGAGATAAATTATATAATTTGAATGAAAAAAATTTAGATTAACAAATTTTATATTTATCAATTTTGTAAGCATTTATATACGCTATGAATAAATATTAGGTGTTTAAATATTATAGTCGAAATATAAAAATGTATTTATATATTCATGTGGTATACATTTTTGATAAAAGTATATCATAATTTTTAATTTTTATTAATTTACTATCTATAATTTATTTTCAAGTTGATATGACAAATAAAAGTTCTATTAAATTATTTTCATTAAAACTTCTATTGCTAAGATCTTCATAATGTTTAACGAGAACTCAAGAGAGAGTCACTGTTCTTTATAAGTTTTATTCTCGAAGCAGATTTAGAACTTCGAAGATAACAAAGCGTTTAATTAAGAGAGAAGTTTAAATTAATCTTAATTCTATTTTCATTAGCCAGATGTAACTCAAATTAAAAGGAAGACGCGCAATTTGCTATTATAGTATGCTTTATTAGCGTAGCTTTGACAATGGAAATGATTCACTAATTGTGACTTGTTTTGATTACAAAGCTGTCCCGTGAAAGTGCGAATGACGAAATTCATATATGACCGAAGTACCGGTATAGCGGATGCCACATTGTTTTCCATGTTCCGGTTTGCCGACAGTTCAGAAGTGCATTTCCAATGCGACATCGCTGTGTGCAGAGGTAAAACTCATCCGGTGAACGATTTCCCATTAGCATCTAGTTACGAATGTGGGTTATAAAATGGCATTCAACTTTTACGATTCGTTGTTGTGATATCACACAGCAGATAGCGATTCTCGTTCATTTTATGAGAGGAATTACTTTTTATGTCTCAAATCATAAAAGTTATGACCCTTTTAAAATAAAACATTTAGCATCACATGCTGATTTAGTTTCAGTGTCGTACTGAACATAAAAATTGCACGCAGAGTGTTTTAAAAGTATAATATATATAGTCTTTTTATATCTGTTGTCCTCATTTTTCTTACTTTTCATAAATTATTAACACTTTCGAACTAACACAACAAGTTCCCATGTATAATTATTATCGAGTATATAAAAACTTGATCACGTCATGGACCATTTTCTCGATGTATAATTACTTATCGAATATACAAGGACTTGATCGAAACCGTTTTTATTGCAATGTAACGCAATTAAAATGTACGTGTCTAGGAAGTTGCGGTACCCCTATGTGTGAAGGAGACAAAGAAGAGCTGATAAAGGGTGGCTCCTCCACTAACGGACAAAGTGTTAGTAGTGAAGAAGGAGTGCTACTTGCTGGAACGAGCGTTTTTGTCCTCCAACCAGGCGAAAAACGAGGTAAGCCAATAAGAATTGCGCTATCGGTGAATTAACTGTTATTGTTACTGTTATACTGTTATTATTAGACATCATTATTCTTAACATATTCTCATTTATCATCTTCTACCTTCATAAAGAAAAATGAAGAGTCAATTTCCAATTAATAAAATTCTTTCCAATTAATAAAATTCTGACTTTTCCTTTTCGATTCGTATTGGGTTTAATTTTCTACAGTCTTTTTTAAAGAAATTTCTTTGCTAATAAAAAATGTATAAAATACACTACATATAGTACGCGATAAATTACAAAAATACATCCTATAGCATGTTGCAATCGATGAAGAAATACTTTATAACTTGTAATTATTTGGAAAGTACAAAGTGAAAGTGCATTTTTAATCACTTTTTTAGAGAAATTGCGTTTTTCCGAACGGAAGTTCTAGTCTAATTTCTATAAGCAGAAATAGTGATTTGGTAAAGAGATCGATGAAAATAATTAGAATAACTACCGCTGAAATTTCTTATGGCATCCGCTTTCCTCTGCAGTTGGTTTTGATAAGCCGTCATGACATGAAAAGTATGTAGCCACGTCAGGAATGCGTGCACGATCTTCTTCTTTCTTTATCTCCTTATTGCTTCTCTTGCATATATCCCATTTATGTCTTCTTCCTGCGCGTCATAAAATGGTTGCCTGTCATCCCTCTTCGTCATCCTGACCTGCATTTGAATCACTTCGACACGCAACTTGCTCAGAAGCTGTCATCAAATTATAATGTATACTCAAGTTGGCATAAGTGATCTTATTTCGCTTATCATACTTTGTGCGTTTTTCATTAGTTCATCCTACAGTCTTATGCTTTAATTTTTACATCCGGTCATCAATAATGTCCTCGTTAACTTATGTCGATAAAATTATATTATTTAATAGATATTAATTGAATATTTTTTTATCTTACTAAATTCCGTACAAAAATAAATGCATTTTTTAATGAGAGAAATAAGAATTGTTATTAATAACTTTTTTAAAATTACTCTAAAACAGATTAGAGTTGAAAACATCAAAATGGAATTTATCATTGAAAAATTGTTTCATATACACATATTTATGCGTGTCTTTTATATTGGATTAAGGAAAAAGTTCCTTTACAAGTTGATAAAAAGACCTTTCCCCATCAATATCTTCGTTAAAAATAATCAAAATTTCAATTTAGAGAAAGAGTTTTAAAGCTTGTAATCTTTACTTTTGAATGGTTACTATATTTGAATTTATGTGAGTTTTATTATTTTTACATATAGAAAATTACGAGCTGAAAAAAAATGAAAAAATTTCTTTTCACTTTATTGGTCTATGCATGTCCAAAAAAATTTGAGCAAATTTTTTACCATCTAAGCTTGAAGCTTTCCTTACAAAATTATTTTTAAAAGATGTTTCTAAGATTTTTTGTTCTTAAATTACTCGCGGATTAAATAAAAAGGAATATTCTGACTTTATTATTCGAAACTCCGTTAAAAATCATCGTATTGCAATTAAAAATACATAGATTCTTAAAACTGAAACGTTGCTCTATCAAATGGTGTAATTGCCAATTTTTTAAAATAAAATATATGGGTTGCTAAAAAAGTCTTTTTTTACCAACTTGTAAAAAGATTTTTTCCCTCGTCCAACATATAGAATTTTTATTTGTTTTTCATTGAATTACTATTTAAACACGAATGGATTTTCTGTATTAATATTGTAACTGATGATATTTCCATTACAACGCACGTACAAACTTACAAATACATGAATGGCTATCGCGATACGAAAATTACATAGTAGTTTCTTTCCATTCGCAGTTGTACAAACATTGCACGATGACGGCGTGCACCCGCTGTGGCTTCTGTGGCTGGCGGTGGCACTCGGGATATTATTCCTCATCATGCTCATTATCAACATATTCCTGTGTTCGGCGATGACCTGTAGCTGCACCCGGACCGACATTATCGAGAAGGAGCCGTCAATCATTGAGGATTACGATCCATACCGCAGCTGGCACGGTTCTCAATACGGGTCGAGGTTTGACTTAATTACCTCTCTAAAGCGAATCGCGTGACTCGCCGACAAAGTATCTTTATTAATTGCGTCAATAATATATGATTACGCACTGTATAACTATGCGCCATCCACCATGCGGCATGATAATCACTTAAGTGGCTCGAATCGATTATTTATTGATAAGCTAATGAAATCGCTGTCAGATGAAATGCCAATTTATATATATATATATATGTGTGTGTGTGTGTGCGTGTGCGTGTCAATTCGGATTTAATCTAACGGTGAGTTCATTAGCTTCTCAATAATTGATTTGAGCCACTTAAATGACTATACTCTTTCATAATTGATCGTAAAAAATTAATTTAAGGATGTGTGATCGAAGAATTTCAAGTCTTTCTGGCGAAATTGATCGTAACCTTTCTGACAATAAGTAAAGTCATATTTAAGTGCGCAGAGTCACGGCAATTAATGTCTCATGTTACACATCACGACGCATGCGATGGCGTGCCTGAACGATCCTTCTTGTGTTTAGGTACTCGTTAAACGGAAAGCAAGGGTACGCCTCCGGGGGATCCACCATGAACTCCACGAGGTCGATATCGACGAATAGCGATCATTATGCGATAGTACACTCTCGACCAGGAAGTAGATATTCCGGTCCTGGACAGAAGCATCATCATCATCACAGAGGACCGCCATCCAACATTGGTTCACACTACTCCGGGAAGTGATGTTCCCGCTAGCTTCATTTATCAAAAACTAGAACTCCATTGTCTTCATTAACGTTACTCTAATTAAACGCAAATTTTATGTATATGCGTCGCTATGGCATTATTCCAACACCGCACGAATGACAGGCATTCGGTTCAACCGTAAAACTGCAACCGATGCAACCTTAGAAGAATTTAAAATATTATATAAGAAATATAAAGTTAAAGTATTGAACAAAATATTGAACAGTGCGTTAACATTTTTTTTTATCATAAAAAATTATCTGAAGAATTGACTTTTGTCGCTTTATGGCTGAAAGTCAACTTACTACCTACATTTGTCGTACTTAAGATAAAAAAACTGTTGGTTTAACATTAAAATGTAATGAATTAATAATAATAGTTGAGAAAGCGTTAATATTACAATTACAGGCCAAGTTTAATATTACATAATGATTCTTAATTTATTTTTTTTTGACAATTTGAAAATTTTGCAGCGATGAAATTTGTATGATGCCAAGTATTACACGTGTTTCACCGTTCTTCTCACATAGATCTTTTTTTATACTTTTGCACTTGTTAATATCAACGACAATGAACACCTTAGATACGGGAAACGCGAATTAAGTATATTGATGAAATAAAATTTTTTGCGGATAAGCACGACGTAAAACGATATACGTATTCACACATTGGTATTTTTATATTTAGCTTTATCATTCGTGGAATGATTCTCGTGCTTTAGACTGCGTATGTATCATAATATAATAGTCATAAGCATAGGCACTAGAATTTACAAAAAACTGCGTATTGATCTTAAATAAGATATATTAGATAAATGCTTTTTGTACATAAATTCATTAATCTAAAAAATATATGTGTCTTTTATTTCTATTGGCAAATATCTTCAGTAATTTGAATTATGCGAAACGTTTATAAATTATAATTGATAATTTTTTAAAATAGAATATTGTTGCTTCTTCTACTTATTACATCCAAACAGAATAACAAGTCGTTATGATATCAAAATGATGTCGAAATGACTTCGAAATGATTATTAAAAATTATTTTTCAATCATTTCCGATTCATTTTAATGTCATTTTGACGTTATCGAGACACGTTTTTCTGCTTGGGTAGATAATTTGCGATAGCAATTACGAATTTTCTGCAACTTTCATTTATATCCATGCATAATGTTATGTTCATTTAATATTTAAGAAATATTCAGAGCAATTTTTTTATTACTCTCCGCGATGTACTAGCTAGTCACGTTTGAGTTTATGTATTTTTTTCCATGTAGTCGACGATCATAGTTTATGATCTTTGCATAAAATTATATGAATTCTGCGGTAATGTGACAATAATAAACGTTGCTTCAATAATATGCGCCGAATGAGAGCATTGTGACTTGTGTTATTAGAGCTAATAACGATAATTCCGATTACGAATCGCATTTCATTTTTACGTTCTTATTCTGCCAGAAACATCTTTTTCTACTTTCATACCCAACTATCCTGTTATGACCTTCTAACTTACCTTCTTATTTTAAGTGAGCTTTGTAAGAGTCATCACGTTTTTTTTGCAAAATAAGTATTCTTAGCACATTCAGTCAGTAAATTACGGTAGTTAAAGTTGGACATCTAAGAACAGCTCGAAGTCTTTGTGCGAAAATTGAGAAATAGGTTAGTGAAGTTTCTTCTAAAGAAACGCACAACGATGCTAGTATAATTACATTGGAAGTATAATATTAAAATTATTAAATGCTATTTTTACAAACGATTTATTATTAAAAATACATTTTTAGAATAAAATACGAATGAGTGGTCTGCAGCAGCTTTGCATGTGTCCCTACGCATACACAAATATAACTCTCGCTTAAATACTTTATATAAAACACGAAAACTCATATATTTACGGATGGTAACTGACAGTATTTATACGGGTTTAGTTACATGAATAATTACACGGGGACTGGGGAGAAAACTGAATTACTAGCTACATGAATACTGGAAAATTTTTCAGTATTACAATATTTACAATGATCGATGTACCTGCTCGAAGAGTTTATGAAATAACTGTTAATCAAAATTACTACAATTGATCTTTTTGTTTTCTTTTTTTAGCAGAATTTTTACTTTTTTAATATTTTTAGTAAAATAAAAAATTTGTAAATTAGACAATTAACTGGATAACATGCGTAAATATTTAAATCAAAATATGTATTTCAGATTTTCATCTTTAAAAACTATTGTCGATAGAAAATTTGTGGCGAAATCGATTAAAAATTATTCTGAATGCATAGAAAACTTTAGTGAAATTCTTTACAATAAAAATATTTATAATGTACAGCCTGCGAGGAGTGCATGTCTTAAAAATTGAACATGTAATTTGTAAAACAATAATATTTTATCGCATGTATAATTATTTAGCTATTCTTAAAAGTTTGATTAGAACTTTATGACTTTCTGAATGTATGCAAATATAATGTCACCGGATTAACATGACGTTTTCAAATAATACCCCAATAAAAAGTTTTTCATGCATAAATATGTATAAATATACATAAACACTCATAAATATTCATAAACATGTGTAATTATACATGAAATATGTCCATACATGTTCATACATACTTTTTTTCTTTTGTAAAATTACTTTTTAATGTAATAGAAATAATAATAGTAATGTGAAAACATAAAAAATAATTAAAAGGATCATTTTCGTATTGTTTGTTTTAGAAAAAAACAAGTTTGAAAAAATATAAAAAAAATTGCTCATACATAATTATGCATAATTTTATATGTAATTATACGTAAGTAATTTTTTTACGCCGAGTGTGCCGCCGGGATTTTTATACGTATTTATACATATTCAAGTGTGAAAAATTTTTTACCGGGACATAATAATTGGCTATTATTGCCTTTAATCTTATACCTAATAATTAATTATAATAATTCCATAACCGGATTCATCATTAAAAGTGCCATGTATCGATGTTGCGATTAATCTGATTGGCCTTAATTATACGATACAATATCATCTGCACACAGATTATCTTCACACAGAAAATTAATTAGATTTAAGTATCCCATATTCCTTATTGCCTGCGAATGATAAATCATCATTAAGCGTCGACGATGAAATCACTGTGTTCATCGTTACGCCATGAGTGAGTCAATGAATTTTAGAAGATTTCCTCACGAGAAAACACGGAATCAATGTGCTCGTAATACAGTTAATTAAACGGCAGGTACGTTATCTCCTTGATATCTCTTTTAAACTATTTCTTACTAAGAATAAAACGATTAGTTTAAAAACACAGCGTATATTTGCTATCCCACAAAACCGCGTCTATTCAAATAGATCGACGTACTGTCACAGTCTCCGAAGCCGACCGCCTCGATTGATAGTATCGTAGATAACATCCTCTCGCTCTCACATCGCGGATTCGCGTCGGCTTTTGCACGGTCTCTAAATCGTGCTTGTTAATCCCAGGAACATTCTCCTTTGTCGAGGCGAGAAAGCGAACGGCCGACTCGAGAAAGCAACAACAACTCGATAGTTCAATGCAAAAGGATTACAATTTAAAAAAAAAAAGGATGATTTTTCAGGTGGTACTTCGTTTTCATTTTAACGAAAGGAAGACTTTGTGAGTATGTTGTACGAAATTATGTACTTTTGTATATTCTAGTTATTAGTGGTTTATGAAAAAATATCTCTAGGTTAAATGATTTTATTCGTTTTTTTTATTTTTTTATATTTTTTTTATGACAATAGAAAAATGGATTTCCTTTCTCTTGGCAATACCAACTGAAAAATTCGTTAATCCACGCTACATCTCTTTTGCATTAAGTCGGCGAATTAAGTGCATTTCACGATTACGCTATTGAGTATTTCGTGTCTCAGTGATCCTGACGAGTGTATTTAGCGAAATGTATCAGGAAAATTTTATCTATAGATATAAGGCACGACGCACGCGCGTTTGCGATCTCGCATATCTAAGTAAGGCTAAGTCCACAATCTTGCTTTAAGAGGCCGTAAGCTTGTAAGTGACGGTACATCGGCCACAGAACTTATGCTTTTAGGCCATAAGAATTGGGTTTTGCTCAATTCGCTTAAGTCTAACGGTTAAAGTCTAAATCTGCGCAACAACAGTTTAAAGACAGAAATTATTGTCACTTTATCTCTTTCGACTTATGACTTAAGCCCTCTTAAAGTTTGTGGACTTACCCTAATGTTTCTGCATGTGTTTACCTTGTATGACCGAACGATTTAAGCGTTAATTGTGAGTTGCATGTAAATATATCTATAGAAAATTGAGGCACCATGAATAAATGTACAGCTATTGTTGCGCAGTATGCATTGCGCATATATTAATGATAAAATGTCAGCCTACGTCTGTGCCTTCGAGACAGATCAATTTAGGATGTCGTTGAATTTCGAAAGATAACGCAAACGGAAGGTGAAAAAAATAAATATATTGATGTATTGATGTACGCTGATGCAGCCGAAAGAAGAATGACAATCATTAACCTTTACAGGACGGGAAAGCTATTACAGTGACGCTGAAAAAGTGTTACATTATGAGACAAGAAATAATGAATTATAACAAATGATCGAGGAAGAGTTGTAAGATTTTAATTTAAAAATAAACCCCAATCCTCTAAAGGTAAACGATACTGTCGCACTTTGGACATTCGTTTGTTACGATTCGTGGTCTTTATGTTAAATATGAATAACCGCGCCAATATCACCCCGATACTTTCATCAATTTTAATTTTAGGCTGACAGAACAATAATGAAACGAGCAATTTCGGGCTGTTCGCGGCACATGCGCGAATTCACTTCCTAACTAAAAGACTGTTTTAAGAGCCTGGATCTGTCGAGGGAAATTCGTCATTTGCAATCACAATCAATCGTGTTACACTTTTTACAAAATTATTTATCTTGTTATTATATCTTTTCTTCAGTTTTAAACGACGAACAAATAAATAAAAAGATACTCTCTAAACTTTTCAAGTGAAACACTTTGAAAAGAGAAATGTTACTTTTAAAGATTGAAAAATGAGCTACTTTTTTCAACTGGTTCAATTTTCACTCTTTGGAGTGAGATTCCACTTCAAACAATTTAGAGAGTAAGAATACGTATAAAGGTGCTCTACATAATTCGCAAATCGCAAAATGTAGTTAGCAAACGCAGAATGACGATCACCGCAGTCAAGACACACACAAACGAAAATCAACTGCATACAATGAAAAAACAAACGCAAATCTCCGTCTGCGTTTACAAACTACGTTTTGCGATTTGCGAATTAAGCCCATTCTACATAAGACGCAGAACACGGGTCGCAGGTCGCAAAACTAGAAACTAACCTAACGTATTT